TGCTGGCTGGCCAGGAGGGGATGCCGGGCTCTTTTCCTTGGAAACGAGCACGCCGCTCTCCTCCGCCCTGCACCGCTGCGGCCGAGTCAGCGTGGGATGGCGCGGACGTCGCTGCGGGGCGCTGAGGACGCGGACCGCGCGGAGGGCCGAGGGAGCTTGCGCTCGAAGGCAGCGCGAAACGGCGTTTGGAGAACGTCTTCCTTTTGCGGAGGACGGCTGCTCTGCAGCGGGACTTATTTGGTCGTGAAAGACTCGGGGCGAGGATCCGTCGCGTGGTGGGCGACGAGCGAGCTGTGAACCATTGAATTGTCTCACCCCTTAGCTCCTTAAATACCCGGCTAAGGCGAGCGGTGAGAGCAAAGCGTGGAGCGGGCACCAACCTGGGTTCCAGGCGTCGTGAGTGCTGCTCCTGCCTTGCTCCTCAGTACCTGAAAGAAAGCGGGACGGGAGGAAGGAGCTGTTTTGTGCTGCTTGTTTGCCACGTGAGAAATGGCGTGGCCTGGTTTCAGACCGGGCAGTAGCAGGTTAGTCTCCAGGCGTCCTCTGCTGAAGTGCTCTCCCGTCCTCTGGACGTTCTCATGAGCTCTTAGCTCTTGAGTTTTTGTAAGCCACAAAGCAATAAATGTCTCTCTAGACGTGCTTACAGAGCAGTCTTGGCGTTTGGCTTGCCGTGGAGGCTCTGAAGAGTAGCAGGCCGCCTTTGACGGCGCTCTACTCTAGTGCCTCTTGAAATCATTCCCCTGGCATGTGTAGACGGGAAGGGACATCTGCTGTCTCCAGCCACCGGGAGCTGAGTGTCCGGCTTTCCCTTTTGTTCGCAGAGATCGTAGATGGTAACGCAAAGATGACACTGGGCATGATATGGACAATTATCCTCAGATTTGCTATTCAGGACATCTCTGTGGAAGGTAAGAGGCAGGGGTACGTACGTGCGCCCGTACGAGTTCGGTGAAATACGCTCTGCGGAAAGCATCATTAACTCAACGCAACCTGCCTCCCTGTGCTGCTCGCTCACAAGGCCGTGAAACCGGCTGGGCTGCGTCCCTTTGGCAGGGGACGATTCTCAGACGCTAACGGGCTCTCTTCTGGATGAGCGGCTCCGCGGTAAAGCCCTGACCTGTTGTGTCCCTTGCAGAGACCTCTGCGAAGGAAGGCTTGCTGCTGTGGTGTCAGAGGAAGACAGCCCCTTACAAGAACGTCAACGTGCAGAACTTCCACATCAGGTAACCGTTCCGGAAGGCTGTTAGGGGTGTCTCAGCTTGGAGACCTGCTCCGGTACACGCTTCGGAAGAGGTTAGTCCTGCTCCTTTGGCCTTGGAGGCTTCTTGGAAATATTTGGTGGCCTTCCGTTACGCAGGAGAAGCTTTCAGCATGGCTCAGCTGGAAGGGAAAATGCAACTCACGCGTATTTTTGCTGCAGTTACGTCTGAAATATCTGCCCCTTCTCTGGGCTGCCTTTCCAGGAGAGGTTTTCGAGGCTAGATCTGAGGAAGATGCGTGATTTATACTTTTCCCCCCGCCCCAGTTTACTGATTTACAGTAGAAGGGCCGAGACAGGAGGGGTATGTCGGGGACCGTTTACGCAGTGCTCCGCAGTCATCGTTGGTGGTGTGAATTTAACCCCTGCGCTGCAACAGCAATCTCACGCTCTCCTCTTCTCTTGCAGCTGGAAAGATGGTCTTGCTTTCAATGCCTTGATCCACAGGCACAGACCCGAGCTCATTGAATACGACAAGCTCAGAAAGGTAAAACGCCGTGGTAGTAGAGTCTCTTCTCTGCTGCTTTTCTCCTCCAGATACTGAGCTTTGGGCTGACAGAGAAGCGGGGTTGCCCTTCAGTCCCCCTGCCTCACTGCCTCAGCGGGAGAAGGGAAGATTGACAAATCTTAAAACTTCCTCTGTGTCTTCTCCGTGAGGGGGGAATGGGAAACCGATAGAGATTCAGAAAACAGCTGCCGCTTTCCGGGGGATCTTTGCGTTAGAGATGCGTGTGGCCAAGCTGTTGCAACACTTCTGCGCTTTTTGAAGCCGCGATCCACGTGGACGGCGCCTTCAGCAGCTTTTTTTCCCTCTCTTCCTAGGACGACCCTGTGACAAACCTGAACAACGCTTTCGAAGTGGCAGAGAAATACCTGGACATCCCCAAGATGTTGGATGCGGAGGGTAAGCTGTCCAGGCGCTTCAGGCTTTAACGCATAGCCAAAGGGTGCTTTCCTACCCGTGCGATTAATGTCCAAGTTCTGATGGAAAATCTACCCCCTTGGGGCGCAGAGGGAAGACGCTGGTGGCCAGCCTCGCTCAGGGCTGGGGGGGTTGTTGAACGTAACAGGACCTGTTTTTAACACGCTCTTCTGCCTGCACAGGTGTATTTAGCTGGCTTTTAAGAGCTGCTTGTTTGTGGGATTCCAGCATAAAGAAGAGCTAGCTGGCTTCTAGACGTGGCGCTAGACGCAGCTTGGTGAGCGAGTCTGGCTCACGTTAGGAAGCGAGTACCCCCTTCTCGATCTAACCCTTGTTGTTCACTTGCAGACATTGTCAACACAGCCCGCCCTGATGAGAAAGCCATCATGACCTATGTGTCAAGCTTCTACCATGCCTTTTCTGGGGCTCAGAAGGTACCGGAGGCGGCTGTGTCCATCTTGCTGTAACATTTCCCAACTGCGGCATCCTACACTCATTCGACTTCTCTTTCAGATGGCCGTTGTCTCTTGTTGACTGGGAATCAAACCTCAGTTTGTTCACGCGGGTTTAAAAAGCTGCTTGGCTTCCCTGATTCTATCTGTAACTTCGTGCCAGAGCAGCTAGGCCAAGTAACAGGCAGGGCGCCAACCTGGTAATAACCTGGGGCGGAAACAAACTTCTGCGAGCTTGGTAAAGCTGCCTGATGAGACTCGGTAGCTAATGTCTTGAAAACAAGGCCTCAGCGCTCTCAAAGAGGCTGGGCCGTAAAGCAAAGGAAGCACAGCGGCGAAAACAACCCCGTCAGCCAGCTCTGGTTTGGATTCCGGTCCTAAGCAAGCGCTTGTTCCCCTCCGCTGCATGCTCGAGGGGTTTGGAGATTCCTGTGCTGCTCCTTCACCCTTTCTCCTCCCTTTCTCTCTGCGCAGATATTGTAGGCACTCTCAGGCCCGATGAGAAGGCCATCATGACATACGTTTCCTGCTTCTACCACGCTTTCTCGGGTGCTCAGAAGGTGAGCTTTGCTGGGTGGAGCTGCGTGCTGCTGCTGTAGGTGACTGGGGTTCAACCGCTACTAACATTCGACTTCCTGAAGCTTGCTACACTGCTGCACGGCTTCTTGAAATGTAAAAACAGGACCAGCCTTACCTCTGCTTCGGTCAGTAGAAGAGCAAAGTATATATCCCTCTTAAGAGCGGGACGCCGGCTGGTTCCTAAGCTGCCCCTCCTTGCAGCCGCAGCGGAGAGCAGGAGGAGAGCCGGTGTCTCCGCTCCGGCTGTGGCCCTGACAGAGCCGTTAAATACAGTATAAGGGGACGTGGAACGAGCAGGTTTTTAAAAAGCACCAGGAAGTGGTTCTTAGCAGCCCTCTTCGTGAAGAGGTTGCCTTACTCGAGTCCTGGAAACCGGTGCTGCTCCTGCCCTTGCCCCTTCCCAGCAGACTTCCAGCCTGCAGGCGGTACCGTAGGTTCAGCAGGGAGGGAAGCGGGGAGAGCAGTCGGGCCGTAGACCGTACGGGCGGAGGGACTGGAGGAGGCGGGCCGCAGTAACTCCCCTGGGCGTCAGCTCAAACGGCGATCGAGAAATCCCGCCGGAGAACGTCTGACCTGCCAGCGACTGCAGCTGGAGACGTTCAACGCAGTTGCCCAATTTAAGGCTGTTTTTCAATTAAAAATGAGACGGTGGTAGCGGCAGAGAGCGCTCTGGCCAGATGCGTTAACTCTGGATATGTACCTTAGCGTCGTTAAGAGACTTTTGTGCGGGCAGCTGTTTGGCAGGAACGTATCTTGTGCTTTCATCTCTACGGGTTTGCCCTGCCGCTTTTCTTCCTTCCCTGAATCCTCCCCCTTTCCCTTCCAGCCACGTTTGTCTGGAAAGCAAGGCTGACAACCAGCCGGAAAAGTCTTTCCTGCTTTAGCATAGCTTGGCTCCTGCCACCTTAGGGGACAGTAGATAACCCGGGTAAACTTTTCAGAAGTCCCCAAGTCACAGTTTGCGTAATGACCTGCATTTCCGGGTCTTTTTCAGTGCGGTCTGGGCTTGTGAGAGCTCTGGGTATTGTTCTAGATCAGTTTAGGCGCTTTGGAGAACTTGAAGAGCAAAGGGCTTGGGGAGAGGAGAGGTCTCTCCAGCTCCGTCCTGGTCTGAGACCTCACTCAGAGACTTGTCCGACCCCACTCGGAGCCATCTGTCATCTAATCGGGGCTCTGCGAGCGAGCTAGCTGCTCCCATGCGATTATTCAGCTGGGGTTTCCTTTCCCGCCCGCACCGGCCGCCCGCCTCGCGCTAGCGCTGAGGCTCGAAGTGCCGCCTGCCCGTTTTAAGGTGCGCTGCTCGTGCTCGCAGCAGGTCGGCGGTTACCGCCCTGCGCTAACTGGAGGGCCTGAGCAAACGAGTGAGTCTCTTGGGCGGCTGGTGGCTCGCAGACCCTCTGCTGCTTGGTCGGTGCCCGCGGCGCGGGCAAACCTGGAGGGCGGCCTGCGGCTTAGCCGCGGGAATCCTTACCGTCGGATCTGGGTCCGGTAGAAATGGGTGGTTATCGCGGTCGAACCCTCCTCGAGGTGGCCTTTCTCCAGGTGGCCCCTTCGCGATAGCTGCCTCCTCCCACCCGAGCTTTGGCAAGTCTTTTTTGGCTCTGCGGCGTAAACGCAAGAGGCCACGGTTCTGCCTGCGCGCGGCTGCCGCGCTCGCTTCGCCGGGGGCGCCGTGCACGCCGTCCGGTTTTGCAGCAGCCCTCGGTCCCCGTCAGCTGCGGAAGCGGTTCTTCAAGGTGGGGGTCCGTTCGTTGGCCGGCAACACACAGCCATCCCTAGGCTGCCAACGCTTGCCTCGTTTGTTAGGCAGCGCTTTGCAAGCGCACGTGGTGCAGCTCCCGTCTGGACGGACCGTTTTCTCTTGAGCTCTGAGCTTAGGTAGCGCTTCTCACGGTCTCCGCCTGGGTGGGCGTAATGTGTGAAATCCTGGCCTGGCCCGTGGCTTGTATTGTTCTTTGTCCGCTCCCGAGCCTTAGGAGCGCAGCTGGCATGTTCCCCGCATCAGCTGGTATTTATTAGCTTTGGTAGCATGTGCGGGTCATCTCCTGAGGTGGCAACTGATGGCTTTGCCTGGGAGCATGTCTAATATGGTTAAGTGGTACCCGGAGCCGCGAAAAGACCAACCGGGCTGCCAACCCGGGCTGCCGTCGCTTGTGCTTTTCCCTTGAAGCGTCTCAGACTTCTGCTGTCCCGGTGGCGGCGGCGGCTCGTTTCCCCAGCTCTCTCTTTCCTCTCCCCATCCTTCTGTAGACCCTCTTCGCTGTGTCTGGCTTTCAGCTCCTCTTCTTGGACTCTTTCTGTGCTGCCTCCCAAGGTACTCAACCCCCAGGCTTTCTTTTCTGCCTCGACCTCTTCCTCACCCTCCCGCCCAGTACGTAGAGAGGATCTGCCTTCGCGCGAGAGCAGAAGACCGGAGGATGGTGCTTAGATCCTGGTAAAACCCCGACGGAAGGGGAGCTGGAGCGGGTCGCTCCGAGCAAACGACCGCAGCTTGTGATCGCTGACGTTTCGGGAGCGCCGG